AGGAAAAATTAAGGCTAAAAAGACCCAAATGTTCAGATAAATCAATGAGAATGCGGAATTTCTACTATTCAAAATTTATGAAAACTTAACACAGCTGATCCACACGGCTCAGTTTGTGTGTGTGTGGGGGGGGGGAGGCAGCAAGGAACTTGAAAGAGAGGGACCTTGGGGTCCTTGAGGGAGAGAGGTGGGTATACTGGTGAGTGTATGCTGGAATCATATGCATGGAAGAGCGTCATTATCAGAATTGTAAATCACAGAACCTCAGTCAATAAAAAATGTTTAAATAAAGCAAAATTAATGTGAACTGGCATTTATTCTTATGCTCTTTTGCATTTCTGAGGTGTCAGGCACCCTCCTCTCTTCTAGGGTTGTAGTAGTAAACAAACTGCAGAGGCCAGCCCGGCTGTAGCACAGTCACTTATGGCAAATCATTTAGATTGCAGTAGTAACAGGAGCACATGGAAAGACATCACACTGAATGTCCTTACAGTAAATGCTCATGAAAATGCTGCAGTTTCCATTTTATAGCACAGTGGTAGGGCGTTTGCCTTGCACGCAGCCAACATGGCCGACCCGAGTTCGGTTCCTCTGCCCCTCTCGGAGAGCCCGGCAAGCTACCGAGAGTATCTCGCCCACACGGCAGAGCCTGGCAAGCTCCCCGTGACGTATTCGATATGCCAAACACAGTAACAACGAAGTCTCCAATGGAGACGTTACTGGGCCCGCTCGAGCAAATCGATGAACAACGGGAGGGCCTTCCTGGGCTGGAGGATAGCACAGTGGTAGGGCGTTTGCCTTGCACGCAGCCAACATGGCCGACCCGGGTTCGATTCCTCCGCCCCTCTCGGAGAGCCCGGCAAGCTACCGAGAGTATCTCGCTCGCACGGCAGAGCCTGGCAAGCTACCCATGACGTATTGCCAAACACAGTAACAACAAAGTCTCCAATGGAGACGTCACTGGGCCCGCTCGAGCAAATCGATGAACAACAGGAGGGCCTTTACCTTTACCTTTTACCCTCCCAAAACAGATAAAGAAAGATCCAGGCTCCATTATAATCTACTAAACAGTAGATTTTCCTTTTCTGCGATCATAATTAATATATAAGCTTGCAGGGTTGCTTTGAGTATTTAGTGAAATAATGTATATGAGTGCTTAATATAGTATCTGGAACAAAATAAACTTACGCTCCACTAATACTGCTATGTCTGTTTCCTTTCGCTACTCATTTTCTTGTTTGGCAACATCTAGTTTTTCATAAAATTTTCAAAAGTGTTGATAATCAGAAAACCTGTCTGTCTACAGAACCCACTTTGACCCCTACATGCTTTTTTTCAGAGGCACATAATGTTACACCCTGAGATTAGATCTTTTCATTTTAATCTGTAATATAGTCCTCAACCATACATTTCAGCCTAGAACCAGTAATTACTTCTGATAATGGGGCATTAGTGCAAGTCACTTGTACAATTTTCAGAGATGAACGTTCTTCCGTTTTTCTCTTTCTAGTGTCAAGAATGTGCACATAATGAAAGGCTTCCAGAGTCACACTGAGCCCTACCCCTAGGATAGTAGTGAAGAAGGCTGGGTGGGAGTCGAGGGTCTCCAATAATCTGCAGGACTCGCATAATAATCCCAAATGACAGTATATAATTCAGGCTTGTGACGGAAAGAATAATATGTGAATACCTACTGCTGATCTTGGACTTTCAGCTTTGAGGACAAGAAGTTTTTTTTTTTTTTTTGCTTAAATGTCATCTTTCTATGGTATGTGTAACAGAGCCCGAACATGTTAAGATAATGTGTATGTGTCCTGCAAGCTGCCACCACCAGCATGTCCTCACTAGAGTTCAAACGAGGGTTCCAGTAATTGCCTGTGGCTTCCAACTCATTATCTTCAGGGTGCTTTGATGTTGATTTTCTAAATGCTGGCTACACTTTTTTAAAAATAGATACTTCAGTAAACCCTCCTTCATAGATATTTCAATAGTTCTTCATCTGACTTTTCATTTCTCTGCAATCATAACTAATATACAAGCTTGCAGGGCTGCTTTGAGTAGTTAGTGAAATAATGCGTGTGAATGCTTAATGTGGTATGTGGAACAGAATGAGCTTAAGCTCCACTAATGCTATTATCTCTGTTTCTTTCCGCTACTCATTTTCATGTTTGCCAATGTCTTGCTTTTTCATAAAAACTTCAAAGGTGTTGATAATTTAAAAAAATATTACACTATTGAAAATGGCGAGAGTATTAAAAGTTTGTTTTGGTTTGGTTTTGATCTGGGGGGGGTCACACTCAAATGTGTTCAATGGCTCTGTGTTCAGGGATTACTCTTGGCTGGGTTTAGGGGACAATATTTAGTGTTGAGGATCTAACCCAGGTCAAGCTTGTGCAAGGCAAGAATACTATCTCACTGACCTGTCATCAGAATATTTCAGGGAGTCAGTTTATACCTTAAAACAAAATGGTGCTTTTTCCCCACAGTGATTCAATAAATAAATATAAGAATAATAAATCAATAAATAAAATTATGAAAAAAAAGTAAGGTGGAGTTCATGCCCAATTCAATAAGCTAATCAGTGACTGAATAAATAGCAGTACTCCTACATAAAAAAAATGGTGCCTAGAAATTTTTCTCCAAATGAATGTACTTTTTTTAGTTTAAGATTATAGTATAAAGCTTAATATAGTGTCCTGTACCATTGACATGTGAGCTTGGAAATCTGAAAGGAATAAGTTGAGTTGATGGTTTATGAGTCAGGGCAGCAAAATTGTGCTGGGTGGATGGTGATTCAGTAGGCTAATTTTTTGGTTTTTTTTTTAAACCAGTGCTCAGAAGCCAAATGTAGAGATTCTCAAACTTATGTTGGCCTACCACCCCCTTTTCATAAAAATCACTGTCACTGTCCTCCCATTGTTCATCAATTTGCTCGAGCGGGCCCAGTAATGTCTCCATTGTGACACTTGTTACTGTGTTTGGCATATTGAATACATCACTGGTAGCTTGCCAGGCTTTGCCATGTAGGTGAGATACTCTTGGTAGCTTGCCGGGCTCTACAAGAGGGGCGGAGGAATAGAACCCGGATGGCCCAGGTCAGCTGCATGCAAGGCAAACGCACTACCCGCTGTGCTATCACTCCAGCCCTTCATACAAATACTCAGCATCATTCTCTCACACTGGAAATCTACCTTCTTTCAGTGAACAAACACCCCCAAAGCTACTACCATCCCTCGGATCATCCTAGTGCCTCCCTGAGGGAGGGTGGTATTACCCCACTTTAAGAACCATTCCTAAAGTCATGGAGTTGAACAGGGCACCACGACCAGAAACTGACATTTAAATTGCTCTGTTTTTGGTAAATTTCTACTTATACCAGAGATTTAGTGTACTGAATGGAAGTGGACCAAAGGTGTATGACTAGAGCTATACTCTCCTGAAGACTTGAGAGTGTTCTCTCTTTCAAATGTATGTACATATACGTATATTTAGCCACACCTGACAATTCTCAGGGCGTACTCCTGGCACTGCACTCAGGAATCACTCCTGGTGACTCAGCGGACCATGTGGGGTGCTGGGGATCAAGTCTTATTGACTGCAAGCAATACAAGTATCCTATCTGCTGTATTATCACTCAGGTCCTTGCTCTATTTTTAAAAAGAAAAATCTAGAAGCATTAATATAATAAGGGAGGTTATTATGTATGTTGAGGAGGCTAGTTTTCAGATTTGGGGAAACAATGAGTTTTCTTCCTGTCATAAATTCTGTTTCTCTGCTATGAATGTACACAGTTGTAATAGTCTAGAGTTTTGTACAGAGAAATCCCAAATCCTTAGCATCTGTTCCTAAAATCCTCTAGTAGGTATCCATGATGTTTCTGCAGTAGCTTTGAGTACACATCACAATTTGAAGGGGTTCCTTATGGTAATTATTGCTTTTTGGGTGGATGGGGAGTTGGATCCCACCCTGATGTGCTCTTGGCATACTCCTGGCTCTGCTCAGGGATTTCTCCTGATATCAGCACCATATGTGGCGCTGGGGATTCAAACTAGGATTGGCAGCTTGTGCACAAGCACCTTTACTGGTGTACAGTTCCTGCTCCCCCCATTTTCGGGTCATATCCAGGGGTGCTCAGGGGATATTCCTAGCTCTGTGGTTGGTATTGACTCTGTGGTGAGAGGACTTTATGTGGTGTTGAGGAATTGAACTGGGGTCAGTTGCATGAAAGGAAAACACTTTCCTGTACTAATCTCTGGCCTCTGATTATTGCATTTTTCATGTATTCAGTGGTACTCTGTGGCAGAGAATGAATAACAATGGTGATGATAATGTCTTCAACTCTATGTGATTGACAAAGTAGATTGCTATAATTTTTTAAACTTAGGTAAATTAAAAATATGACAATCTTTTGGAAGAAAGCTGTGCTAATCTTTATTTGAAAAAGAGTTTTTTACATTACCAAAACAACCAATTTTATTTTCCAATACTATGTAGTAAGAAATGATAACTTTTACATATTTATGATGTTGCCTTAAACTACTATGAGATATTACTTGTCTTTTATTTATTTATTTATTTATTTTTGCTTCACACCCAGTGATGATCAGGGATTACTCCTGGCTCATGCACTCAGGAATTACTGCTGGCAGTGCTCAGAGGACCAAATGGGATGCTGGGAATCGAACCCGGGTTGGCCACACGCGAGGCAAACGCCCTACCCACTGTGCTATCGCCGCAGCGATAGCATTATCATCTTTTAATGTCAATAAAGTTAACCAATAAAATCAGACTGTTCTTCAGTTTGGCATATCGAATACATCACGAGAAACACAGTAACAACAAAAGTCTCCAAAGGAGACGTTACTGGGCCCGCTCGAGCAAATTGATGAACAACGGGAGGACTGTGACAGTGACTGTACTTCAGTGGCATTGTGCTTCTTGTACTTGACCATTTTGAGAAATGTATGTATTTTTCTAATATATAGCTTCTATTTTTTCAGATTTGGATATCAGAAACTCAAGAACAAATGTCAAAAAAATTTATGAACAAAGATTTTGTTGAAATAAAGAGCAAGGCTTTATTGAATGATGAAACAATGAGCTCTGGGATGATCAAAAGGTATTCTTTATACTTCCATTGCTCACAGATTAAGTATCGTGCATATACAAGAAAGAAATTGTCTAATAAGGAAAGGGAATCGTCACCTCGGTTATACGTTATAGGAACATTTCAAGCATGAGGACAAATCTCATGCACTGTTTTCGGCTTAGGCATTTTGTTTGAGATTCCCTTTCTTTCACTGAATTGTTTCCTCTGTGGTCCAGGTAAAATTCTCTGTCTCTCTGTCTCTCTGTCTCTCTCTCTTTCTCTCTCTCTCTCTTTCTGTCTCTCTTTCTCTCTCATTTTGCTTTTTGGGTCACACCCAGTGATACTCAAGAGTTACTCCTGGCTCTGCACTCAGGAATGACTTCTGGTGGTGCTTGGGGACCATATGGGATGCCCGGGATTGAATTCAGGTCGGGTGCATGCAAGGCAAATGCCCTACCTGTTGTACTATTGTTACTGCCCTGTCATTTTCTCTTCACACATTTTTTTCTTAGAAAATTTCTGACCGGGGCTGGAGTGATAGCACAGCGGGTGAGGCACTTGCCTTGCATGTGGCCAAGATGGGTTTGAATCCCAGCATCCCATATGGTCCCCTGAGTACCGCCAGGAGTAATTCTTGAATGCAGAACCAGGAATAAGTCCTGAGCATTGCTGGGTGTGACCCAAAAAGAAAAAAAAATTCTGATTACTTGAACCTTGAACCTCAGCTTCATAATTAACTTGTGAAAGTTGTTGATTATCTGTTATCCTGTTTCTTCATCAATAAAATGGGAATTATAGATGTGTGTATTTCAAAGAGTGGTTTGGAAATTTTGGTGAAATAATATCAGAAATACTGCCTGACATGTAGTTCACTGAATCACTGACCATCCTGTTATTCGTCGATTGCCTCGAGCAGGCCCCAGTAACGTCTCCTTCATCCTAGCCCTGAGATTATATTCAAGGCTCTTTAGGAGAATGAGACCCATCATTGTTACTGGTGTTTGGCATATTGGGTGTGCCACAGGGAGTTTGCCAGACTCTGCCATGTGGGCAGGCTACATTCGGTAGCCTGCCAGTTTGTCCAAAGTAGGAATGAGATAATAAGATGTCATAATAAGATGTTGCGCAGCTGCAAATGCAGCCGCGCACTTCTGGGAGCTGGTTTTTATAGTCTCTGAGTCTTGGCCGTTGATGGGATTACACGGCTCCAGGGGGCCAGTTGGTGAGTGTGACCCCCGCCTACTGGAATTTGGAGGATCTGGGTGGAGGATGCTCGGCCCCAATCAGAGTAGGCTTGGAGATCTCGGCCCCGGAACCCTCTGCCGGTACCTTCATGTGTGCGGAGAGTGGTCTCAGCATGGTGGTGGCTGGTCCTGGAGGTCTTCAGCTGCCGTAGCCCTGGTCGGGGCGGGGAGGAAAGCTCAACCCGCTCCCCTCCAAGGGGCCCCGGCAGCGAGGGCAGCCAGGCGCGGGGGCAGGAGACTGCACTGTTCTCATGCAGTTAGTGTTAGATAAATTGTTGTTCAATGGAACAGATTATTCTTGAATTCTTCTACTAGGAGTGTTTTCTTTTTTCTATTCTACATAAAAGCAGAACTTAGAGTCTAGGTTTTAATTTGTTTTGTTTCTTTATTGTTTAACTGTGTGTGTGGGCCACACCCAGTGGTGGTCAGGAGCAACTCCCAGTGTTGCTCAGGAGGTGCTGGGATTGAACTGGGTCTTCCTGTATGCAAAATATGTGTTCAGTCCATTGAGCTATTTTTCTGACCCCCTTCATTCTAGTTTCATTTGTATTTGTGTTTCTCCCTAAGATAATTTCCTTGAAGTTAGGAAATATTTCTTAGTAATAGCTGAACTGACAAAGACTTTCCATAAAGTGACTGGTGTAGACTTTTTCTCAAAATGCAATTATTGGAAAAATGCAGATTAAGTAACAAAAAGATGAAATTTCTACTTACTTATTGAGTCATTACATTTTTCAAAGCGCATAGTTGCTGCAAACATTAAAAATCAATAGTGTAGTTCAAATGAATTTTTGTATGAGTTTATAAATTTATGAAAGTAAATCTGGCTTTTTCCTCTAAATTGTTTTCTTATTTCCAGGGACACTGGATTGCCTGCCACAGGCTTTGGATCTCTCTTTTCTAGACCACCACCAGACCATCGCAAAATGTTAGTTCTTAATATTCTTCAGATTGCATGCACAAAATGTTTTTTAATGATTCAGGTTTGTTTTAATGGGTAAAGGGGATGAGAAGTATACAAAGTAGTTTTTTTTATTAAAAAATTTTTAATAGTGAGACATCATGAGGTACAGTTGCAGACTTACACATTTTTTTTTACTTTCTTTTTTTTTTCTTTTTTTATTAGTGAAAAACCATGAGGTACAGTTATAGGCTTACAAATTTTGTGCTTGGGTTTCAGTTATACAATGATCAAGTACCCATCCCTCCACCAGCGCCCATCCTCTACCACCACGGGTCCCAGCATCCCTCCCACCCCCCATCCCCCCATCCCACCCTGCCTCTGTGGCAGGGCATTCCCTTTTGTTCTCTCTCTCTCCTTTTGGGTGCTGTGCTTTGCAAGAGAGGCATTGAGTGGCAGTCATGTTTGGTCTCTAGTCTACTTTCAGCATGCTTCTCCCACCCTGGGAGGATCCTCCCAACACCTTTAATTGGTGCTCCCTTCTCTATCTGAGCTCCTCCCTCCCCTAGTATTACAAACTAGATTAAACGCCCTTAATGTGGCAACTTGTGTCCTCTTTCCACGTAGAAATTTTGAAATTACAAGTACAATTTAGAAAACAGAATTCACAAATCTAAGGGATAGTAGATTGGGACCTTGCATGCAGCAAACACAGGTTCAGTCTTCAGCATTCCATATCTGAGCACTGCCAGGAGTGATTCCTGAGTACAGAGCTAAGTGTAGCACTTGAGCACTGTCAAGTGTGGCACAAAAACAAAGTACAAAGCAAAAAATTTTCACAGTTCTAGAATTTTCAGAAAATGAGGATTGACATCAATATCGTTATTATTATATTTTTTACTAATGACTGCTTTTAGATGGAAATACCTTGTTAAAAGGAAACAAGTCTGTGAAGTGTCACATAGACTTTATCCAGGCTTTCCTGATCCGCATCCCTAAATGATTGCTAATGCATCTCTATATGGCCATGAAAATACCCAGAGGGGTCTATGCTGAGGGTTGTTCTTGAGGAGAGTGAGTTTCTAACTTAAATCAAGGTGATGTGCTAAAATATGTTTCTGCTGAGTTCTTTCCCTGTAATAACATTGTAAGAATCACCAAAGACATTGGGAGTCAGACTTTGGTCAACTGGAAGTTGAGTTTGGTACTGAAACTCTGAAAAGCTCTCAAGAAAATTAGGGACTATGGCAGGGCAGATCTGCAGAAAGGGAAGATGGATGGCACAAGAGAGAAAGCAATGGTTGACCTCTTTTTTTTTTAAAATTGAATACAGTTACAAAGCTTTCATGATTGAGTTTCAGTCATACAATGAAACTCATCCCTCCACCAGTGTACATTTTCCACCACCAATGTCCCCGGTATCCCTCCCACTACCCCCACCTCACCCCACCCCCTGCATCTATAGTAGACAATTTCCTTCTTACTCTCTCTCTACTTTTGGGCATTATGTTTTTCAGTACAGATATTGGGAGGCCATAATGTTTGGTTCTTCATCTACTTTCAGCACACATCTCCCATCCTGAGCGATCTGTCCAACCACCATTGATTTAGTGATCCCATCTCTATCCCAGCTGCTTTCTCCCACAATTCATGAGGCAGGCTTCCAACCGTAGAGCAATCATCCTGGCCCTTGTCTCTACTATCCTTGGGTGTTAGTTTCATATTATGTTATTTTATATTCGACAAATGAGTGCAGTCATTCTATGTGTGTCTCTCTCTTTCTGACTCACTTCACTTAGCATGATACTCTCCGTGCCCATCCACTTACAAGCAAATTTTATGACTTTGCCTTTCCTTACTGCTGCATTGTATTCCACTGGGTAGATGTACCAAAGTTTCTTTAACCAGTCATCTGTTCTCGGGCACTCGGGTTGTTTCCAGATTCTGGGTATTGTGAACAATGCTGCAATGAACATACAGATGCAGATGTCATTTTTACTGTGCTTAATTGCACCTCCAGGATATATTCTCAGAAGTGGTATTGCTGGGTCATATGGAAGCTCAATTTCTAGTTTTTTGAGCAATGCCCATATATTTTCCACAAGGACTGGACCAGTTGGCATTCCTACCCACAATGAAAAAGAGTCCCTTTATCCTCGAAATCCATGCCAGCACTGGTTATTATTATTCTTTTTGATGTGTGCCAGTCTCTGTGGTGTAAGATGATATCTCATTGTTGTTTTGATTTGCATCTACCTGATGATTAGTGATGTAGAGCACTTTTTCATGTGCCTTTTCGCCATTTGTATTTCTTTTTGAGGAAGTTTCTGTTCTTCACCCCATTTTTTGATGGGGTTGGAGGCTTTTTTCTTGTACAGTTATACTAATGACTTGTATATCTTTGATATTAACCCCTTATCTGATGGGTATTTGGGTTATAATTTTTCCAATTCCGTGGATGTCTCAGTATTTTGGTCACTGTTTCTTTTGAGATATAAAAGTTTTTTGGTTTAATGTAGTCCCATTTGTTTATGTTTGTTTCCATTGGTTTGGTCAGTGGTGTTTCATCCTTAAAGATGTCTTTGGCATCAATGTCATGGAGGGTTCTACCTACATTTTCCTCCATGTACCTTATTGATTCAGGTCTGATATTAAAGTCTCTTTAATCCGCTTTGATCTGACTTTTGTGCCTGGCATTAGACAGAGGTCTGAATTCATTTTTTTGCAAGTAACTGTCCAGTTTTCCCAGCACCATTTGTTGAAGAGGGTTTTCTTGCTCCACATCCCATTTCTTGCTCCTTTATGAAAGATTAAGTAAAGTAAAGTAAAGTAAAGTAAAGGCCCTCCCGTTGATCATCGATTTGCTCGAGCGGGCCCAGTAACGTCTCTATTGGAGACTTTGTTGTTACTGTGTCTGGCATATCGAATACTCTCGGTAGCTTGCCGGGCTCTCCGAGAGGGGTGGAGGAATCGAACTCGGGTCGGCCATGTTGGCTGCGTGCAAGGCAAACGCCCTACCGCTGGAGCGATGAAAGATTAAGTGATCATATATTTGAGAGTCTGTGACAGAATATTCAACTCTGTTCCACTGATCTATGGGTCTGTTTCTATTCTGATATCATGCTGTTTTAATTACTACTATTTTGTAGTACAGTTTGAAGCTGAAAGGTGATGCCACCCATCTTCTTTTCCCCAGGGATTGCTTTAGGTATTCATGGGTATTTATTGTTCCATATGAATTTCAGTAGTGTTTTGTCTATTTCTTTTTTAAACTTTTTTTTTTATTTTATAAGGTAGTTCACAATATTTGATTACATTTACTATTTAAACACCAATTCCACCACCGTCACACCTTCCAACCACCATATTTGAGATTTTTCCATCCCACACTTTCTTTTCTATTTCTTTGAAGAATGTCATGGGTATCCTTATAAGGACTACAGTGAATCTATATAATGCTTTGGGGAGTGTTGCCATTTTGACGATAATGATTGACATCTCATGTTGAAGTCAAGCCAGATGAGGGTAGGAATTTTGATCTCAGTTGTGATCTCATGCCAGATATGGGCCGTAGCTGGGCAATTTTGTCTATTGTGCTTGCAAACTGGATTATATGCTCAAAGTTGTATTTTTAACACTGACTTTAACTGCTGCTGCTTTTAGTTCAAGACTAAAATAAAACACTCAGGACTCTATATAAGAAAGGATTTGATGTCCACAACCTTTCTCCCTGAAGCTCTGATCTCAACATTGAGATCTTTAATACCAGCCATAGATAGCCACTAGGCCCCTGAGTTTTTTCTCCAATCTCAAATGAAGACAGTAGTTTTGAATGTGAAAAATGGTCAGGAGAAATAAACTCCAGAGAAGCAAGTGCATTTAAGTCCAGCGAACTTCAATTGCTGTTATGTTTTGATGCCACACTTAGAAGTGCTCAGGGACCACACCTGATGATGCTCTGGGGACTGTACACTGTAGCACTGTCCTCCTGTTATTTATTTATTTATTTTGCTTTTTGGGTTACACCCGGCGATGCACAGGGCTTACTCCTGGCTCTGCACTCAGGAGTTACTCCTGGCGATGCTCAGGAGACCATATGGGATGCTGGGAATTGAACCCGGGTCGGCCGCGTGCAAGGCAAATGCCCTACCCGCTGTGCTGTCTCTCCAGCCCTGTCCTCCCGTTTTTTATCAATTTGCTCGAGTGGGCACCAGTAACGTCTCCACTGTGAGACTTGTTGTTGCTTTTTTTTGGCATATCAAATACATCACAGTAGCTTGCCAGGCTTTGCTGTGCAGGTGTGATACTGTAGGTAGCTTGCTGGGCTCTCTGAGAGAGGCGGAGGGATCGAATCTGGGTTGGCCACGTGCAGGACAAACACTCTAACTGCTGTGTATCGCTCCAGCCCATATGCTGGGGACATATGCTGGGGGAAATTAGGGGAGTGGTCATATTTACATGCTAGGTAAGTGCCTGACCCTTTACACAATATCTACATTCCTCCTCTTTGGGAGGGGGCTTAACCACACCCAACTGTTCTCAGCCTACTCCTGACTCTGTACTCAGGGGTCACTTCCTGGCAATGCTCAAGAGACCATGTCATGTGGTGCTGGGAATCAAAACAGTGTTGACCACACTGTCACTGTCACTGTCCTCGTGTTGTTCATTGATTTGCTCGAGCGGGCCCAGAAACGTCTCCACTGTGACAACTGTTACCGTGTTTGGCATATTGAATACGGCACGAGGAGCTTGCCAGGCTTTGCCATGCGGGCAAGATATTCTCAGTAGCTTGCCAGGCTCTTCGAGAGGGGCGGAGGAATTGAACTTGGGTCGGCCATGTTGGCTGTGTGCAAGGCAAACGCCCTACCACTGTGCTATCGCTCTAGCCCACTGTTGACCACATACAAGGTAAACACTAAACATTCCCCTATACTATCTCTTTGGCCCTGAGTCTCTCAGCTTTGATCTTGCATACTCTTAGTGAGGATACCAGCTGCATTTCACAGTTCAATGTGTCACTTATAAGT